AAGAAAGAGCCCTAAGAAAACCAATCAGTTTCTTTCAGAGGAGAATTTATCTGGAGATATTTAATTCAAAGACAACAAAAGTGATTGAGTCATTGCTGCATTCCTTTTGCTGGAGAACATTTACTTCATGAAAGTAAAAAAAACCTTCCGACGCAGTTGAAACGAAAAAGTCTGATAAATATACGTCCATATCTTATATGTATAGAAATAAACGCTAAATTGTTTTCTTTTTACCTTTATCGTCCATATACTATCATTAACCGGCTAGCGCTGGTTTCATTTCTTACTTGACTGCGATCGCTATATCTTTCAATACCCGCGTGCACAAGGCTTTGCAGGTATACATGTCCTTAACATTTCCGACAATGTCGCTTCATTGTACCCTAATAGAGCTGCATATCACAAGAGCAGCCAATTTTCAGAGCCAATAATATTTTGCCAGTAATAATAGTAGCCCGTATTTATACATATCGAAAAGTATTTCATTTCAATTTAGACGCCAGTTCATCAATTATTTAAAAATTATTAATTTTATAACCTTGTTGACGGAATCTAAGATAGAAATCAAAACATTAAATATTGATCCTGTTTTCACCGGCGACGGCTTGATGACCACAAATTCCCATCACCGTACAAAAGCCATCTAATCTCATAAACTACAGTAGTTTCAATTAAAAAAACATAATTATTACAATTACTAGTTTATTTAACACGAAGAAACGAGGGCAGTGGGAAAGCATCTCGGATCTCTCCCCTGCATAACTATCACTTTAGATGCACATGAATGATCAATCAAGTGGACAAGGATTATCGACCACCTGGACTGGGTACATGCATGTAAGACGTATGGGCAATGAATGTCGATAATGTGAAAAGGGTTCATCAAACATGTATAGAAAGGAGGGTGGGACACGTGTGAAATCTAACCCCTTCAGAACGGGTTTTGCATCATTGAACACTTGAAGAGAGCACGATGTGCTCGTTTGTTTATAACTTCCATTCGGGATAAAATAAGTTCTTTATGACAAATATATTTATGTTTTTGTGTTGGACATAGCAGTGTCTCTGCCTCAAAAAATATATATCTTTAAATTTAAAATGGCGTCATTGTTGCTATATAAGTGCGTAAACCTCTCTTCTTGCTGAGTACCACACGAGTCAGTATTTGCTAGTATAAAGAACGCTTTGCAGGCTCGCAACATTATGCCGCCGAAAGTGCACCAAGTTTTAGCAGTGTCCCCTTCCCCCTTATGATCTAAGTTTGTGTTTTTCTGAAAATAGGATCCGCATGGAAACATTGAGTTCTTATTTTGTATAATTTTAGGCACAATGCAGTCTGAGCGTTCACATGTATTATCATATAAATTATTTCCTACAATGAATATAGCCATATTATAGTATCATTATATAATAGTAGCCGTTATGATTATATAGGCACAAAAACGTCATTTTATAATCTAACAAGTGTTTCTATAACTATATAGAAACACAGGGAAAATGTTTTCTATTTCTTTTATAATATAACTCAATAAAAAATTTTGTACAAATATTATAATTCGATTTAATTACAAATTCTCATTACATCGCTCCGCTTGTCAAGTTCGGCCGGTGATTCTATACAGTTTTAGTATACACCCGATTATTGTCTATTACAAATCCTACATTCTGATTGGCTACTCAACCATTGTCTATTCGTGATGGTGCACGCTTGGGAAAAATTCGCTCGCGCGGCCGTATAAAATTGAGTTAATTAAATTATTTTTCGGTGTAATTTTGCGGTGTATCGATTATTTCCTCGAAATAAATATATCTAGGTACAGGGTGTATAATAAAACAATTAGACAACTCGCCTTCGTTGCCTATGAGCGAATAGTCAACTCAGGCTTCGCCTTCGTTGACTATTCGCTCATAGACAACTCGGACTTGTTGTCTAATTGTTAAATAGAAACACGTTTCTTGATGAATCAGCACGCGCGTACTATAAATGTTGCAGTCGAGATTTCGACTGTGTATACGTCCAGGGAAGCCGAAGTACGTCAAGAATAGTTGCTGGTGCACGGCAGCAATTATTTATTTATTATTTGATGCATAAAATTTCGACTTTTGTGGCTCACTCGTTTGTACGATTTTTATTACGCGTTCATTGTGAAGGATTGCAAACTTAGTCGTTCGTCAGTTTCGATTCCGATCCTTCACAACTCGCGCATAAAAGTCGTATTCGCATACACTCATCAACCATTAAGTAATCTCTATTTATTCTTTTGAATTGCCTAAATTGAAATTTTTCTATAATTTCAATTATACATAAACTGCACAATGACTCATAAACGCAGTGGCGTAGCCTGCCCGACAATTTAGATCACATAAAATTTGTATATAGCATGACTAAATCGTCCCGCTGGCTACATAAACGTAACCTTGCATACAAGCCTTAATATCTTTTGTTTCCTCCTGTTTTCTACTTTTGTTTAGCCACGGAGGTTACATTAACTGAGTCAATTTATAGAGTGTGCAGTGTGAAGCGGCGCCAAGTTAGAATTGCGTGCCTTCACAACATGCCTTTACTCCATCATGGCAACTATGCCGGATAATATGAGTTGGTCTGAAACCAAAGAAGATGGCATAGTTATTATCACCCTACCAGAGAACAACACCAAAACGTCCCTTGAAAAAATTGATTATTTCGTTGGCAACAAAAATAGCAGGACAGAGTAAAAACACATGCACTGTGAAATTTGTGGGTGAATGGGTTGAGCGGTTTGAAGCAATCTAGCAATCGAGTTTCAGGACGATCGCATGGCTGCTCAGTGTGAAATACAGTCTCGGTCAGCGAAAACAGTGAGGTATGCAGTTGCTGATTACGGGGTTGTTGAAAATGCTAAAGATGAATCATAGAAGAGTCAGAAGACGGTTTCACATCATGCTACTGCTGTTGTAGCCTGCATGGTAGGCGGTCCCTATAAATAGTAGGAAAGGCGACAACAGCGAAAGACCGCCAGGGCTCTTACTTTCGGGAAAATTTCCCCAAAATGGAGAAATTGGTAGATTTTTGGGAACGATCTGGGGAATCACTTTTTTCGCGGAAATTTTTTCAAGTGTTGCTGAAAGTCGTGCGTCAGTTGTTTTTTCCTGGTTTTATGTTAAATATGATTATTTTCTCTAATTGATCACATGTGGCCAATGATTGTTACTTGGGAAAATTTGAGAAATTTTTGAGGAATTCATCAATTTTGTTGTGAAAGCCCTGAAGACCGCCTGCCGGGTTTGGCTATGTGTTTTAGAAATTAATGATTGGCTGCGAGTCTGATACGCTGTCAACCAAGAGTAAATATTTTTAATTTGTAACGGTCAAATTTGTAGGCCTCTGGTCTTGGCGGAGTTTATTGTCGATTGCGTTCGCTCCGCTCTTCTAAAACTAAATAATTTTCGAAAGTCGAAACGCGAACTGATTCTTAAACGCGAGCAAGAGATAGCGTTAAAGATTGACTCCTTGGGAAGCATGTTTTAGCCGTTCTACCTGCTAGTAGTTATGCATAGCCAGAAATGAGCGACATCTGTGCCCCCAAGCAACAACACTTAATGTCAGCGGATTCAAATTCACACATGCGTATTCGACACCAATCGGGAAATTGAATATTTTAATTTGACCTTTCGCTTGACCTTTCGCTTTAAGGTCATGCCAGTGAAGTAAAATTTGCCGTAGTGAGGAGTCTCCAAGACAAAATTAGGCTTTTTAGGTATTATATTATTTTGGTCGTTTACGTCGCTAGCCCTTTCAAAGAAAGTTATATTTAAGTTAAATTTTAAATTTTAAACCATAATACATCGTGTATAAATAGCTTATTTCAGATCAGTGACTTTTTCCCGTAATATTTCAAATTTCCCGCATATTCGCGTAATAACATCAAGCAAAGCTTGAGTTCCAGCGGTATTTGGCGATAGGAGACATGCGCTAAAGAACTTAGAAGCATGTTATCTAAGATGAGAATGAAACGAGTTTCAAAACAATAGTTTTGGGGAAGAAATTGACCGAAATATTACCAAGTTATTGCCATTTCAAGCGAAACAAAATCCTTTATTATAGACATGGATGCTTAAAACTACCTTAAAAGAAGCTGGCAGGGACAAGGCAAAGTAAGGTTTTTATTTTATAATTTTTATATCTTCGAAGTTGCAAGGACATTATCTTGCCATTACAAGCTTCGCATATTGGAATTTCTTGGGGAATGATATTTCAAGAAAATTGTAAATATAGTCTACATATAAAAGCTAAACTGCTAAAAGCAAACAGATGTTTGCATGTCATATGATCCTTGCGTAAAGAAGGTGCTTGTCAGGAAGAAGTACATAAGCTGTTTAACAGCTTAGTTTTACCTATTCTTACCTGTGGTCTGTTAGTATATGGTGCCTAAGATTCGGACATGACTGTTGTACAAACGTTTTTAGATAGATGTTTTAAAATATCTCTTATTATATAAATGTACGTGATCTTTTAGAAGTTAATGATAAAAAACTTTATAATAAAGGTATTTCTGATGCTGAACATCCTCTCAAGAAGATTTTACCAAACAAAAAGACAACTTGTTACAACCTTAGAAAGCAGAGGAGTATTCACTCAAAGATTAATACAAATAGATTTAAAAATACTTTTGTAAATAGACTTTTTTACATATGATTTATAGATTTGAAATAGTTGTAACTTAAGATATCTTAAGATGATCAAAAGATTGATTGATAGATTGATTGATTGATTGATTGATTGATAGATTGATAGATTGATTGATTGATTGATTGATTGATTGATTGATTGATTGATTGATTGATTGATTGATTGATTGATTGATTGATTGATTGATTGATTGATTGATTGATTGATTGATTGATTGATTGATTGATTGATTGATTGATTGATTGATTGATTGATTTGGCGGCGCACAAATTAAAATAAGTATGTTTTCCGTTTGACATCCTTACACGAAGTACTTCCAAAGTAGCGCGTGTTCATGTGTGTTCATTCCTCGTTTATTGCGATCTAAACTAGAATTTGGAAGAAAATAATCTAAAAAATTGGTTCCTACTTTTGCGATTTTTCATTCCGTGATCTCTCCTTTTGGTAGAAAGAGCTCCTAGATTCGGATGAATGGATGCGTGATTCCGCACACGCCAATAGCAGTTGATTGTTGGCAAAGACGGCTTGTGCATGCCAAAATATGTTTTCTAACTCACATGCACACAGACCATACTCAAGGGTTAACCTCATCTTGGGATCAGCCGATCTATTGCTCTGAAATCACTCGAAGTTTGGCGATAGAACACTTGAATATTAAACCATGTTTTCTTATTTCAATTCCTGTTGGTCAAAGCACCATTATTCCTTTGGATGATGCAGGTAAAATTAGCTTCATATGCATGCACCTTTTGCAGGAAAACTGTAGTCCAGTAAATGCAATGCAGCGGTTTGCTAAGTGTACACACTTTGCTAAGTGTACACACTTAAATGTTTTGTGGAAAAGTCAGGTGCTGTGGTCAGATTTTGTGGGTGTATGTAGGTCCAAACATATGCACAGAGCTGGAGCTATTGTTCAGTGTATTGAGTTTTAAGAGGATGTTATCAACCAGGATTTAGGCAAATTCTTAATGATGAAAAATGTGTGTTTAGGTACTTCCCTAGCATGTGCAGTTGATAATTTTTGCTTACATCACCTGGGGCCAGTCATATAAAGGCTAGTTAATTAGCTGACAGAAGTGGCCAATAAGAGTTGTGTAAAACAGTAGAAACTCCATTTCAAAAATGTAATTTTCGACATTTCAATTAAGCTATAGTCAGGAAGAGAATGAGGATAATATTACATATGTACAAGTATATATAGTGAAGTAATTTAATATGTTTAGCTGAATATTAATAAATATATAGAAGCTTTTGTTCCATGATTAAGAATAGATATCTTTCTATTCATGGTATGGGACTCGACTTTAATTTAGTTTAATTTAATTAATTTAGGCTTATAATTAAACATATCTAATTACTTCACGATATATACTTGTACATACGTAATATCATCCTCACTCAATACACTGACTATGACTTAGCCGAAACGCCGAAACTTATGTTTTTGGATGTTTATGTTTACTTTACAGAGTTTTTATTGTTTTATATAAAATATTAAAATGAAATACTCAATGGTTCCCGTAAAGAGTTGTGTATTGTAAGAGAAAAGTCCTGAAAAGTATGCTCATACCAGTTTGTTTGTCTCTATTATTTTCAACTTTGTCACTTCGTCTATGTATCACTCTACATACCAGTACCCCAGAGGATCGAGGAAGAGAACATAAGCCATAAGACTTTGACTATCATAACCAAGTAAACAGAACAGAACATGCTATTAATCTTAGAAAATATTTGAGATACCTTGTGTCACTGATCAATTGGATTGCAATGATGCAGGCCAATATGCCCCTTCCATTTTTCACAATTCTCCTATAATTTACAATCTATAATCCAGCTTCAAATCCATGAAAAATTAGCTGATATTAATATTTAGATTTTTCTGTTCAAAAATACAAAAGGTCTTCTTTAGCTAGAATATGGCTATATATTAACAGAATGTCGATCATTTCCCCTAATTGCCTTTTAGGCTACAGGAACTCTCAGAGACTCTCTGTTGGGAATATTGCCAGATTGTAATGTAGCACGTACCATACCATGAATTCATAAGTTCATTTTTCATGAATTGTGAAGATAAATAAGAGCAATATAAAACCTTGTGCTATATGACATAAAACAGAATTCTGGTTGTAAAGTTTGCTGGTGTCTGCTCCTCCTTCTGTGATCAAAGTATGCTTGGTTTGATCCTCCCATGAACCTTATTCTACCCTAATTATATTTTCTGTTATATGCTGTTTACGAGGATTAAAAATTCATGTACTACCAATTCCAGCCAGTCTTCCAAGGTCATTGTTAGGTTGTCTCTAAAATTATTCAAATAATGTGAATAATTTGTCCTGTTACAAAATATGTGAGTCTGCTCAACCATCCGTGAAATAAATACAGTTTTATGTTCCAATTTGAGACAGGTGTGTTATTGTTGTTGCCATTATAGCAGCTGATCTGCAATTATGCCAACTTGCATTGAATTAGTGTACCAATGGAGTTAAGTTACCAGTATTGCTTTAGAGAAATCAATTAATCCTATATTCTAAATTCTTTAAAATATATCTCAATAGAAGAAAGATATAGATTTTTGCCATGATGAGAAGCAATACATATTTCATCAGTTATGGACTGTTATTTCACTCTCTGGTGATAGTTAGGTGTTATTTCATTGACTGGTGCCTGCTTATTATTTCATTTAGTAGTGACTCGTTATTATTTTATTGAATATGTAGTGACTGATTATTACATTGACTAGTGCCTGGTTATCATTTCATTGTCTAGTGACTGGTTATTATTTTGTTGGTTGGTTACTGGTTATTATATCATTGGCTAGTGAAGTCCTGGTTATTATTTCATGTACTAGTGACTGGTTATTATTTCATTTACTTGTGACTACTGAAATTACTATTTCATTTACTAGTGACTGGTTATTACATTTATCATTTAATTGTGACTACTGTAATAAGTATTGCATTAATTAGTGACTAATTACTATTTTGATGACTATTGACTAGTTGTTATATCATTAGGCTAGTGACTGGATATTATTTTGTTGACTAGTGACTTGTTATTTCATTGACTAGTGACTGGTTATTATTTCATTTACTAGTGACTTGTTATTATTTCATTGACTTGTGCATGACTACTCTAATTACTATTTCATTGACTAATTACTGGTTATTATTTCATTGACTAGTGACTGGTTATTATTTCATTTACTAGTGACTGGTTATTATTTCATTTACTAGCTAGTGACTGGTTATTATTTCATTGACTTTTGTATGACTACTGTAATTACTATTTCATTGACTAATTACTGGTTATTATTTCATTTACTAGTTACTGGTTATTATTTCACTGACTAATGACTTGTTCTTATTTCATTGACTAGTGACTGGTTATTATCAATTTTTATTCACTATTGAGTGGTCATTATTTCATTGACTAGTGACTGGTAATTATTTCATTAACTAGTGATTAATTATCATTTCATTGACTAGTGACTAGTTATTATTTCGTTAGCCTAGTTACTAGTAATTATTTCATTAACTAGTGATTAATTATTATTTTATTGACTAGTGACTAGTTATTATTTCATTAGCCTATAGTTACTGGTGATTATCTCATTAACTAGTCATTAATTATTATTTCATTGACTAGTGACTAGTTATTATTTCATTAGCCTAGTTACTGGTAATTATTTCATTAACTAGTGATTAATTATTATTTCACTGACTAGTGACTAGTTATTGTTTCATTAGCCTAGTTACTGGTAATTATTTCATTAACTAGTGATTAATTATTATTTCATTGACTAGTGACTAGTTATTATTTCATTAGCCTAGTTACTGGTAATTTTTTCATTAATTAGTGACAGGTTATTGTTTCATTAGGCTAGTGACTGGTAATTATTTCATCAAATCTGGCTCAGCACCTGCCTAAAATATACAGTTGATAAACTCTATTTGACGGTAATGAAAAACTCCAAGCTGCTCCTGGTATAAATAGATATGAAGCTAAGTCTCATACGTAATCTACATTTTCTATCTTTTTAGGGGTTGAAACGATGACGGTCACCTTGATCGATGCTAATCACTGTGCCGGCGCTGTGATGTTGTTGTTTCAAGGTTATTTTGGTTGCATTCTTCATACGGGTGACTTTCGATACTTCAACGGAATGCTTGACGTTCCTCCATTCACGAAGGACATCGTCATCAACACGTTGTACTTAGATAACACATACTGCGACCCACGTTGCGAGTTTCCTTCACGAGCTGAAGCAATCAAAAAAATTTTAAATATAATACATGACAACCCTGGCAAGGAAGTCAGAATTGGTCTCGATAAACTCGGAAAGGAAGAGCTTCTTTTTGAAATAGCTAAGGACCAAGGTGTTCCAATTTTTGTTGAGGAAAAATTGCGTCTCGAAGTGGCCGAGTTGCTTGGTCATAGCGGGTTTTTCACAAGAAGTCAAGAGGACACGTATATTAAGGTGTTCAGTAGGCGTTCTGTAAACAGACGTGCGCTGATGGATTTGAATAGGAATGTTCGTCCAACCATAGGCATATTGCCAAGCGCTTTATACATAGGCAGAGCAAACCCATTTGCAGAAAGCGATGAGATTTTCGTTGTGCCATACTCAGACCATTCGTCGTTCTCCGAGCTGAAAGCGTTCGTGGCCAAGTTGCGACCTGAACGTATCATTCCGGTTGTTCGTAAGAACGGCCGAAAGGACGAAGACTCGCCCGACCGTTCGGACATGACCATATTTGCGAATGAAATGTCAAGTAATGCAGGGCCCCACATTTTTGACATACCTCCAACGGTTCGAGAATTCATGTCGGGAAGTTCCAACAACAACCGCAACACACCTTCTGTAAAACGTAAGGCCTCCACCAGCTACTTTAACAGCAGATCTAAACGACCGTGTGGTATTGTATTTTCTCCTGAAAAGCAAACGGCAGCTTGCGTGGAAACAGATAAAGTGGCAGTCCAAGAAGAAGCAAATACCTCTAACCAGCCGCACGAAGGTACAGTAACACAAATTTAACGATTCTACATAGCGTATAAAGAACGCAACATTAAATATTCATGATATTTGCATACGTTTTTTGGTAAAGGGCCCTTTTCTTTATACGATACTTCGTCATAATTACAGTAGCCTTTCTCACAACGAGCGTGAGATCTCGTAACGACGAGTTTCTTTATTAGGCTGAATTTATTCTTCAAATGGTTTTTTGATTCTAAAAAAAATGCTTTTCATGTTGTTATATATATTTTTAAACCTATATTTAAGAAAATTGAAAGTACTCCAATAACGTCATCGTGGGAAAGGCTAATTCTTTGTAATTTGTTGTACACTGCAATTCGGTGACATATGGAAACGCGAAACTTTAAATGGGCACAAAACATGGGCCACGTCCTTCGAGATTGCAGCCGTTCATCTCTAAGTACAGTTCTGCTGGAGCTTGCGTACCACGCAAAGATCGCATGAAACGTTTGGGCTGCTGCCTTACAGTAAATCATCGAACTGCGAACTGTTCGACAATTCACGGGTGTAATACTGGCGTTAGTACGACTGCTGTAGCCATGTGGGCAACGATCTTTTGACTTTTGTGATCGATGCCAAAGCGAATATCATGAATATTATTAACACTTTTATTGACAAAAATATAACGCATGAAATTTTACATAGTGGTAAAAAGCATTCAAATTAATACCAAACTAATGCGGGAACCAATGAGCATTTTCATCAAATACACAACAACGGTAACTCCGAATGAGGACATGTTGATTCAACGTTTCGACTTTATTTAGTCATCATCAGGAATGGATAATGTTACATATATATATTGTACTTCGTAAGATATACAGATCTTTTGTTATTTAATCTCTACTAGTAGAAAACCAATAGTTCTCGGGATGCTTTCATGCCATGGTTCATTTCCGGTTTTTGCCTGTGGATGGCGAGTGCTTCTTTGAATAATAATACTGACCAGCGTTTTGCCATATCCAGGATGATGGAGTTTTGGAGAAGGAATAGCTTAGTCTTACCTAACGCTGGAGATTAATTTTAAAAGATCTGTATGTATTACGCAGTACTATGTAACATTATCCATTTCTGATGATGACTAAATAAAATCGAATCGTTGAATGGAAATGCTCTTGTTACCGTTGTGGTGTCTTTGATGAAAATACCAAATGCATCTAAATTCTTACTTCATTCAAGTTTTTTAGTCCTAGTTTTTAGCTCTACCACTGTTAAAGGGCTCTTTTCAGTAGGCGGAATTTTACGTGCTTTTTGTTTGTTTTTTCTTATGTTAGTTTTGCATGAAAGCGTACAGGCAATGAAAAGTTACGCTCCGCGCGCAAATTCCCCCCTAGTGGTAAACAACCCTGAAACTAGCTAACTGTCCATATGATATAGAAAAATTACGTCAGGCTAATGTTTACAGTGAGTCGTGCTTCGAAAGACACCTTGTTATTAATTTGTATCAATCCACATGTTCCGACTTATATATAGAGACAGATGTGGTGAACCAACATCGTCTTCCTGTGAATGAAGCAAGCAAGATATTGCAAGAAGAACGAGCTCCTTTCGACGAGGAAATGTCAGCCAAATCACTAGGCGACAATGAAGTCGACAGGTCCCCTGGTTTGCCAAAACAAGGAAAATTCTCTGAAAGCCAAAATTTGAAACTTAGTGGAACACCTAGTAAGCGTGTGTTGCAGCTGAAGCAGAGTATTATTGAACATATCCAGCGTATGGTTGAGAGTCCTTCTGCAGTTGCTGTCAACCCGAAGGAACCGCGAGAAAATGCTAGCGCTGTAGAATTACCAAAGGACACTGAAATATCGTTCAATAAAAGAAACACAGATAAAATTAACATTTTACCCCAAAGTGGCAATGAATTGCAACAGAAGCGAGATGACGACTTGCCAAACTTGCCAGAAATAGAAGCGAACAAGAAATCGGAGCTTCCGGTAGGCTTTCATATTGCGAATATAAGTTTGTATCTATTGATAACCAAGGAGCAGCGTGGCAGCGTCTTCAAACAACAATGTTGATTTGTTTCTCTTTGTTATTGATCTGCTTTTTCACTGATAGTGGCGCTATATTTATTAGTCATGCATAATTACTGGTAGCTAATTCAGGGGTAAAAATCCACATCTAGAACCCATATAATATTGGCGCGCTTTTCTTAACTCTCGCAACATTCTCGCGTGTTTGGATTAGGCCATGTATCCATGCAAACACGGAAACCATTAAGTAATTGTTTAATCAGTTATAGAGCGAAGCGTATGAGAACAAACGTCTGTGTACACACTGATAGAATATCCGTAGGTAAGGATTAAGGAGCACCGCAGAAATTTGTATTTATGAAGTTTCAACCCGAAAATCTGATCACTGGTTCACAATTGTGTATTTCTGTATAAAGGTCAATTATCTTTTGAATACGCAATCTCCAATCTTTTGGGAGCTCATCATACTCATCTTACAGCTGTTAAATGGTCATTTTGAGGCTTAAAGAGAATACACAATGGAAATTACGCATTTTTCCGAGTTTTATTGTGAAAGAATTTTTCGATTTTTTAAAAAGGAAAAAATCTTAGAGCCGTTTGGATCCGTGAACTCAAATAAGACTGGAACGCTAGCTCTCTGACTTTCCTTCATTAATGAGTAAAGCCAGGATGGCGGACAATGAAGCTGAGCTATATTAAAATTCCTAGAGGACTTGCTCTCGGGCAGATCCATTGAGCTATTTTTAAATCCCTGGACGACTTGCTCGTCATTTCTCGCTAACTTCGCCGCCATGTTTTTGTCACCAAAAACATGAAAAACATGCCGAATTTCGTCATATTTACCACTGACCGCGATCAATTAATACAAGTCATAGATGCTGTTTATGCCAATGCAAAAATAAATATACATATATTGAAACGTCAAAGAAATGTGGACAAAAGTTGAACTACAAATTTTCATAATCACCGTCTGACACTGAATGACAGGTTTATTTTTTATTTTCTTAATGATGTTTTCGTTATTTATACATTCCTATATTAAATTTAACAAATGCTCAAACTTTTTGGCACTATTTAGCCCTACTTCATATACAATTTTAATCTTAAGTTTGGCCAACCTATAAGATGCTCATGATAACATGGGAGCTTTTGAATGTAACAAGTATAAAGAAAGGAATATTGATCATGGAACTAAAGATAAAGTTTTACAGCTTTTAATATTTTTATGCAGCATGCTTGCATGTATGTACAAATTAGAAGGAGTAATAAACAGTCATATGAATAATTTGACAAAAAAATTAAAATTAACACCAAAAAGGGTCATTAGATGTTTTCATACTGATCTTTATGGGAAAATTGACTTCAATAACATACAAATGGTGTATTTGCTGCAAATTGTGTACTGCATGTATAAGGCATGGACAAGACATTATAGTCATCAAGGTTCCTTAACTTCATGGTCAAGGATGTATTTGGAGCTTATAAACAGAAGTATTTTTGCAACTCAAGCTTTGCTTTATTTCCAACTTCAAGTTGAAGCAACTATGTCAGCAGGGTATTGCACATGTGATATTATTAATTTGTGACATTTGTAACATCTTACTACCATTGAAGTAACCGTCAACCTAGCCACCATTGAAGTAACAATAAACATTACTACCATTATTCTGCCTTTAATAGAATAAAAGCAACACATAACCATCAGACAGTTTTGAATCCCTGTGTTAGTAGATTAGGTGGAATGTTTATTTTTTTATAACATGTAAATAAATATCGATCAAACTACCAAGTTTTAAAAGACTTTATAGCGACTTCTGAGTGACAATATAAACAGAATAGATCAGGCCATCCAATGGGCTTCAACCAATCAGAACACGCGTTATATACATATTATTTATAATAACATATACTTCCAGCCACATATCAACAAAAACCCATTTACCCGTAATAATCTTTGAAATTGAACACTTTTTTAATCGTTTCGCAACAATCGAGCAAAATGCACATGTATAAATTTCCCTCACTCGTTATAGATTTCTATGGGACATCGCCCTGGCCGCGAGCCCGCCCCAGTGTTTTCATGCGTTGTTTTCTCTGTCAAGTTTGAATATCCCGGTAAAACACTCGCTTTCGCTGTTCATATATTATTACACCTAAAATTTAACCTCAAGTTCCATTAAAATGTCACATCTCGTTGCCTCAAATCATTCTTTTCTCTTAGGTATTTAAAAAAAACTTCTCTATTTCATCACAGGTAAGCCTGGACCAACCGAGAGAGATGCAGCTTGAGTTGAGTTCCACAGAACATACCGAAGCATTGAATGACTCCAACTTTACATCGTGTGGTTCACAAACTACATCAAATGGTCCGGAAACGCGCGATCCACTGGCAACCGTGCGCAGAAATTCAGGCATTGAACTTGGTCATTCTGAAGGCAAAGTCGAAAACACGTCGATCAGTTCGAAAACCTCAAATGAGTATAACCCACTAGAAGCTGATGTTTCAGTGTCGAAATCTGTAAAAGTTGTTGAACCGCAAGTAAATGAGGCTGAAAATATCCTGGGAAAATCTGAGCCCCAGTTGGTCCAGCAAGGTGTCCAAAGTGATGTTTGCAACTCCCCAATAGGGAATGGTGGCGAAACTAAGAATGGAGAGAGCGAAATGGTAAATATACGCTAAACTTTATTAATTTTGAAATATATTATTTAGCTATATACCGTCAACCAATCTTGTTGTGATAAAATTTAACGCTTTTATTAAAGTTTAATAAAGTTGCATCTTTAGATTATCACTAATAGAACGAATTAAGTGGTACAATTAATGCCAAAATCATACTCGTAGTTAACAAATGTTGCTCGTGCTGGGCGATGTTGCTCGTACAATTAGGGATTAATTGTATTTGTGATGTTTGAAATTTTGACAAAATTTTCACAAAATTTTCTATAAAAACGTCACTCGTATTCCAATAATATTTTCAGATGTGCTAGAGCACCCCGCTGAATAGCTGGCAAAAATTTAACACTTCCCGATCTCTGATTCACATATACTTCATGCCACATATTCACAAAAACCTATTTATCCGTAATAATCTTTGAAATTCAACATTTTGTAAATCGTTTTGCCAAAATCGAGCAAAATGCGCAAATATAAATTTCCCTCACTCATTATACCTTTGTATGGGAAATCGCTTTGGCCGCGAGTTTGCCCCAATGTTTTCATACATCGTTTTCTCGGTTTAGATATCCCGGGAAAACACTCGCTCTCGCTGTTCATATGATTATTACATCCAAAATTTAACTCCAAGTCATATTTAAAGTGTAACATCTCGTTGCCTCAAAATACTCTTTTGTCTTAAGATATTTAAAAAAAACGTCTCTATTTCATCACAGGTAAACCTGGACCAACCGAGTGAGATGCAGAGTGAGTTGAGTTCCACAGAACATACCGAAGCATTGAATGACTCCAACTTTACATCGTGTGGTTCACAAACTACATCAAATGACCCGGAAACACGCGATCCACTTGCAACCGTGCGCAGAAATGTAAGCATTGAACTTGGTCATTCTGAAGGCATAGTCGAGAACACGTCGATCAGTACGAAAACTTCAAATCAGTATAACCCACTAGAAGCTGATGTTTCAGTTTCTAAATCTGAAAAAGTTGTTGAACCTCAAGCAAACGAGGCTGATAATATCCTGGGAAAATCTGAGCCCCAGTTGGTTCAGCGAGATGTCCAAAGTGATGTTTGCAACTCCCCAATAGGGAATGATGCCCAAACTAAGAATGGAGAGAGCGAAATGGTAAATATACGCTAAACTTTAATCATTTTAAAATATACTATTTAGCTGTAATACCACCAACCAATCTTGTTGTGATAAAATTTAACGCTTTTATTAAAGTTTAATACAGTTGCATCTTTAGATTATCAGTAATAGAACGAATTAAGTCGTACAATTAATGCCAAAATCTTACTCGTGGTTAACAAATGTTGCTCGTGCTGAGCGATGTTGAGGGATTAATTGTATTTGTGATGTTTGAAATTTTGACAAAATTTTATTAAAACCGAAACGATTAATTAAAACAAAACAAAACGATTAATTAAAACAAACCGTTCTTCGCAGTTCTGTTTTCATACATTGTTTTCTCGTGCAGTCGGGTTTGAATATCCCGGTGAGACACTCGCTCTCGCTGTTCATATATTACATCCAAAATTTAACTTGAAGTCCTATTTAGAGTGTCACATCTCGTTGCCTCAAATCACTCTTTCTCTTAGGTATTTAAAAAAACTTCTCTATTTCATCACAGGTAAGCTTGGACCAACCGAGTGAGATGCAAAGTGAGTTGAGTTCCACTGAACATACCGAAGCATTGAATGACTCCAATGTAAAGACATCGTGTGGTTCACAAACTATATCAAATGACCCGGAAACGCGCGATCCAATGGCAACCGTGCCCAGAGATTCAAGCATTGAACTTGGTCATTTTGAAGGCATAGTCGAGAACACGTCGATCAGTACGAAAACCTCAAATCAGTGTAACCCACTAGAAGCTAATGTTTCAGTGTCTGAATCAGAAAAAGTTGTTGAACCTCAAGAAAATGAGCCTGAAAATATCCTGAGAAAATCTGAACCCCAGTTCGTGCAGCAAGATGTCCAAAGTGATGTTTGCAACCCCCAAATAGGGAATGATGCCCGAACTGAGAATGGAGAGAGCAAAATGGTAAATATACGCTAAACTTTAATAATTTTAAATTATACAATTTAGCTATATACCACCAATCAATCTTATTTTGATAAAATTTAACGATTTTATTGAAATTAAATAAAGTTGTATCTTTAGATTACAGAAGATATATAATTAATTAATGAGTAATAGAACGAATTAAGTCTTGCAATTAATGCCAAAATCATACTCGTGGTTAAAAAATGTTGCTCGTGTTGAGCGATGTTGAAATTTTCACAAATTTTCTATAAAAACTTCACTCGTATTGCTATAATATTTCAGATATGCTAGAGCACCTCGTTCAATAGCTGGCCTTCCGCGTATACGCGTTTTGTATAAATAAGAACTCTATATTAACAATGTTAAGCTAGTGGGTTTTCTGGCAGTGCAAAGTAGTGGAGTGTTAAGCGGTTTTGGTCTCTAGTGCGGTATGTGAATGTCTGGGTGCGAATACGCGCCGTTTACTTTCTGTTTTTTTTTACCTTCTTTTCTCTTTTGATGTTTGCAACCCCGAAAATGAACCTCTGAAAATATCTTTAGGTTAGTTTTTGGGTTATTTGATATCTGATTCATTTTTTGAGTTTCTTTGTTTTCTCAAAAGTGCAAGCGTTTAGCGGAGGCCTGGAGATGAAGTGATCTACCATATCTAAATTAGCTTCATCGTTAATTCCAAATTTTACTCGCTATCGCATAATTATCTAAAATTAAATCAAATCAGCATACAAAATAACTAAATAAAAACACCAAAATAAAACTTTGCTTTAATTGTAACCACTCCTATGCAAAAAACATCAATAATAATCATGCATTGCGTATCACAATCATTCTTACCTATCTTTCACGTATTTAGAAATTGTAAAGAACTCACCTTCCGGAGACCTTTTGTCTCGATTCATTCGAGAAGCCACTGGAACAACTTCTGTTCGTGTCTCTCTGGGATATCCAAACTCTTGAAAACGAATAATTAAAACATTCTGTTTTCATACATTGTTTTCTCAGTTGGGTTTGAATATCCCGGTGAGACACTCGCTCTCGCTGTTCATATATTACATCCAAAATATAACTTGAAGTCCTATTTGAAGTGTCGCATCTGGTTGCCTCAAATCACTCTTTTTCTTAAGATATTTAAAAAAAAGTGTCTTTCATCACAGGTAAACCTGGACCAACCGAGTGAGATGCAGAGTGAGCTGAGTTCCACAGAACATACCAAAGCATTGAATGACTCCAACTTTACATCGTGTGGTTCACAAACAAGATCAAATGATTCGGAAACACGCGATCCACTGGCAACCGTGCGCAGAAATTTAGGCATTGAACTTGGTCATTCTGAAGGCATAGTCGAGAACACGTCGATCAGTACGAAAACCTCAAATCATTATAACCCACTACAAGCTGATGTTTCAGTTTCTAAATCTGAAAAGTTGTTGAACCTCAAGCAAATGAGGCTGATAATAGCCTGGGAAAATCTGAGCCCCAGTTGGTGCAGCAAGGTGTCCAAAGTGATGTTTGCAAGTCCCCAATAAATAAAGACAACAAAATGGTAGCAGTTGATTTCCAATTTCCTGATGACAGTTCTCCGGTTGCGCATTCTAAACCGGATGATTTAACTAGGGACACTGTCGAACATCAGTCTCAGCCCGGCCTTGAAGACTCTCTAAAGGCATTAACTAATTGGAAAATTGGCGTTGCAAAAACAAATCGTAAAAACGATCTTCCTTCAAACGAAATTTGCAGCGCGGAAAAATTAGACAAAGCGGCTCCAAATGGGGATTGTCTCAAGGTATCACAAAAGGTCGACAATCTTAATGCAGAACAAGGAAAACAACATAATTTAGATGACGTCTTCAGCTCTGATGAAGCAAAACAACAGACGTTAAACGATAGTTTAACAGAAGTATTTGCTTCTTGGGGAGAAAAATCGACTAAAAATCAGAGGGCTTAGGAATACGTATTGCCGAGGAAGAAAAATTGCACACGTTGAACGATAATACTACTCAGGTATTGGGCGAACAGACCGTTACTTTGAACAAAGAGGTTTCTCGGGAACAAAAAGCAAATGAATCATTAACTTGGCATGACTTAAAAGGCCTTACTAGTAATGAAAAAAGGAAACTAGAGACGTTGAAGGAACTCAACCGCGCACAGGTTTGTGAACCAGAAAACGGGGTATCTGTCGGTATAGACAATAATCCAGTATCATTAAACAAGAACGGAGAACAATGTAAGTTAAATATGGTTTCTGGCACAAGAGATTTCTTCTCGTAGCGAAGATAATGTCACAAACGAAGAGGAATTGGCCGTACCAGTCCCGGAAGCCAATATGCAATTAATTCTCAGAGTTCTGGATTCACAGGAAGGGGCTAAAACGTCCATTCGTGTTCTGGAGGAAGATGACATTGGACTTGCCACGTTAGACAGGTTTTGTAATGTGAACGACTCCGAGGGATGCGATTCCAACGATATTGATGTGTATCTCAGAATTTTGAACAAAACGGGAAGACCTTTAGGTATCGAGGTGGATAGTGCAGAACAGCTTGTCGGAAACTTGACATCAAGTGGATCCACGCAAGTGCATTGTCTCACTTCACAGGCACTCCAAGAAACTGTAGCTGAATTAGTACAACGACAACCTATCAGCAACCCTGCACCTAATTCTAGAAAAAAGAGGAGAAAACTAACTGGGATTTATAGAGAAATTCTCTCAAGAAAGCCCACTCGCACAAGAGATAATTACCCAAAATAATGCTGATGCCGGTGTAAACTATTACGATATCGGGAATTCTTGCCAAAGGCATTATACTGAGATGACGAAGACCATTCTGAACGAACGTCACAGGTTTAAATTGCGTTTTTTATTTTCCCAGTTGTGTTAATTTTTTGGTTTATTTTTGTTTTTGCTGGCAACATGCGATATATAGTAAAGTGAAAAGCTATCTTCATGGCCAACACCACCTGGTTATATACAACAGATGTCAAATCTTACTTTCTCCATTTTATAATTAGAGGTTTACTTTAGTGCCCTGTTATGATAGCTTAAAACTAGTTCATGTCCGGAATCATCATCATGTGGTAATGTAGCGATAACATCATATACCATGATATAGTATGACGTTGCATCACATATCACCAATCATATGACTTCGCATCATATTACATCACACAAGCCCCGTCTACGGCTAAAATGGGTACTCGTGCCCAATTATAATATGATAATATCGCAGGTAACGTAATTTGAGTACTTTGAATATAATGTTTCCAGTAATTCGACGGTTACGCGTACTGTCCACACGTATCCGGCGTTTTCTCCCACTCAAAAAGGGGGGGGGGGAATCTGAAAACGCTCTCCAGAGTGGAAGAATTTGAAAACGACGGCTGAGCGGATACGAGTGGACGGCTTTGCCGGATAAATTTGAAAACGTCACTAATCAAATTGTTTCCATATTAATAAGGCTTGTTTCACGTCTTGTGGCTTACGCTTAACTTTATATTGCTACATTACCGTCAAATGAGTCCTATTTAAAACATAGTCTGAAATATTAACCATTTGCGGTGACCTGATGAAAACTGAAGTTGGTTGGTAGGAGACCATATAAAGACAGCTACTGACGTTTATTTTAGTTATTTGTCCTTCATCAGCTGTATTCGGTGTTTTTTGATAAGAATAAAGCATTGTTATTACGAACTTCTGTATTCGAAATATTACCATTGTTAATCTTGTACACGAGTTGGCTTCGGATTCTAGTCCATGTTCCTTATAAGGGTTTTCCACCCCAGCTCAGCCTAAGCAGCTTCTGAAGGACCGTGCTCGTTGGGATAACCCAAAACTATTCTCGCAGCCCTGTTTTGAAGCCTTCGCTATTAGATTCATTATACCCATTCTGAAATCAATGGCGTTTCCTGCTAGATATTTATTTGCGAATTCTATCAATAACTATAGTTAAACTAGAAACACGTGTATGCAGCAACCCCTTGCCTAGGTTAAACGAAATCATTTAAGCATATGGATGGTAGCATAATATAGTTGAAAAATTTATGTGGTTTGGAGGATGGTCGGGGGTACGTGTGGTAACGTGCGGTTTGTGAAAAAAGAAGTATGGAAATATTTTTCTGCAAGTGAATGTACTGTAAGTCATAGCAAGTCGTAACGGCTAAGAGCCGTATATTTTCAAAGAATCAAAGTTTACCCTCCTATTTTTTGGAAAAAATGGCAATAATTCTTACGTTTTTCTGGAAGCTAAGTTAGTCGTCTCGAAACGAAAACTATTGAAATCACTCATTGTTAAAATTTAAATGCCGTGTTCACGAATTTCAGCCCGTGGGGATTTAATGCAACTTATAAAATGCTAAATGCTTTGTGTTGCTAGAGAAAGGGACATGTTGAAGATCATGGTCCTTGAGATGCACATTTAAATAATGTTATCCATATTTGTAAATTGTAAATATTGTTGATAAATATCAATCTTGCGAACAAGCAAATTATACTGCATCATATGCATGCATAAAAATCAGTATGGCAAACATTTATACATCTCTGGGTCCCAACCAGTGAACTCTAAAAGGACTGGAACGATAACTTGCCCGCCATCTTTAAAGCCAGCACTGATGGCCGCCATGAAGGCCAAGAGTTGAAATTACACCACCAAAACAACGCCGGTTTTTATACACAAATCCTTCTCATCTGATCATGAATAAAGCTTAAAACAAGCAATAACACTTAGCTTTTACTAAAAAAGCAAGTTTCTTGAACGTGAAAAGGTGCAAACCTATTTTTTTTGCGAGTTGAAGGCGAAGTTTTTTTTCGGCCCGTTCAAATTCTTTAAATATTTCAAGTACAAAGCTGGTACCTCGCCGGTTTTTACAGTAAGATGATGCGGATTACTTAGGTCTATCCAAAAAGGGTAAATTCGTTGTTTAAAGTTGAAGTGGTCAAATAAAAATTGCACTTTTCTCGCAATTTTTTGCCAAAAAATACGATTTTTACGGAATTTTCACTCTCCCCAGTTCTTTTGAAGGCTTGATTTGCTCGCTCGGCTGCCGCCTTAATCAGCAAATTATATTCAAATCGGCTTCATCCAATGACTAGTCTTTATTGTTGAGTTATCGTTCTAGTCTTATTAGAGTTCACTGGTCCCAACAGAGTGCTTAGGTATTCAAACTCTAACAATTACATTCTTATGGGTGATTTCAATAGTTTTCGTTTTTTTGGGACACCCATATATATGGGACATACATATATATATATATATATAAATATATATATATATATATATATATATATATATATATATATATATATAACCAACAAGTATTCCCACACTGCTCGGTAGCAAAGACATATAGGAAACAATTGTAACTACCACGGCCAGAAGTAAAACTAAAAGATTTTATTAAAAATATATTATATAAAATATATTATAAAGATTTTATTAAAAATAGATTTTATTAAAAATAAAAAACCCAAATCTAGAGGTGGGAAATGTGTATTTGTAACCAAATACAATCCTCACGCACCCAACATCGCCAGCATTTTGGCTAAACACCGTGATATCATTGACACAGATGAGCGTGCTAGCGCTATTCTTCCCAAGGATTCTATCCAAGTAGCATATACCAGGGGTGCTAATTTGAAAGAGCTGTTAGCCCCGTCTAACCCTTATCGTATTATTGGGCCTGTTGGTCAAGGTTGTATTAAATGCACTGCCAGGAGATGTGATTGTTGTCAACATTTCTTAAAACCTGGTGGTGAGTTTGTGTCAGCCGTGACGGGGAGAAAGTTTAGTATTCGTAAGACTTTGACGTGTACCTCTGAGCATGTTATTTACCTAGCTGAGTGTGTGGCTTGTAATCTGCAGGGCATTGGTTCTACTATTAATTTCAAGCCCCGTTTAGCTAATTACAAGTCCCACATTAAACATGGTCGTAGAACATGCGGTGTAGTTAACCATTTTATTGATAAGCATGACAATAAGCATTTGAAATTGAAGTTTATGTTGATTGATCAAAACAAAGAGGATTTAAGAAAGTGTGAGAACTTTTGGATAGGAATGTTACTGACTAATTTGGGTGGTTTGAATAGCACTCATGACTTTTCTCAACAATAGGCTATAATTTGTATTATGTATTATGCATGTTCTTCTCCTTATATATTGGACTTATTTGTATTAGTTAGTTAATTTCTGAAGAAGGCTGCGGCATGTGGCCGAAAATTTAAGCTTAGTATATTTTTAATAAAATCTTTTAGTTTTACTTCTGGCCGTGGTAGTTACAATTGTTTCCTATATATATATATATATATATATATCGCGATCCGTCCTCGTTATGGGTGAGATTAAAATATGATTAATGCAAATTCGCTGTTCTAACATATGTCTCAAGGGATGACTGAATTTGTGATCATGTTTTGATCTATCTGTTTAAACAAAACTTGTTGGTGCACAAAGATGCAACTGCTAAAACTAGTAATATGCATATTTTTTAACAGATAACCACCCAACACATCATGTACAAGAAGTTGTAGAACGAG